TCCTCTTCGCCCTCCCGCAGCCGGGCAGCCGCACGTAGCCTCGACCTGACGGGGACCGCGGGGCGGGCTTGGAAATCGAAGGTGGCCCCAACAGCCTCTTCTGCTTCGTTTTTTTCCTCTCAGGTGAAGCGCTTCCGAGGGATGCTGACGAGTCTGGTGCGATGTACCGCCAGAAGGTTGGTTTCCCGGGCGTATGGTGGATTTAAGGCTCCTGCCTTGAAAAAACACAAGTTTCAGCTGGAAATGGCTCCCCCTAGTTCAAGTAAGACATCTATTTGTTTCCTTTAGTACCTCGGACGTTCAAAACGTTCGTCTGAACGCTTTAAATGTTCCAAACGTTTAAAAGACTCTGAAGTTTGTGGGTTTGTTTACCTAATTGCCAAAATTTATCTTCTATATCTATATTCTTCATAGTTCGAAACCCCCTCGCACAGCTGCAGGCAGCGCAATTGCCCTGTGACACGGTTTTGAGATCTATAATTTATGCACATAAATATACGCTAATTAATTGCGTTTCCTTTTCATAATCCCAGTAGGCAATAAAACTCACCCCTGTTTTTTTTGTAGAAGAATTGTGGAGGGCCTCCAGCGTTTGTAACCACGCAGGAGCAGGGGGCTGCGTAACCCCAGGAGCCCTGTTTGTTCTAGCAGTAGTAAATACCCTGGGTTTGTTTGGGTTTGTTTGGGTTTGTCAGCACAGTTGAGGATGTGTCTTAACTTGAAATCTGTGCACAGAATTTCACGGGTACAGCAGTAAGCCCCCTAACCATTGGGTAGCCAGGGTGCACTTGCTTTTCCCTCCACCTTGAGCATCCGTGTTTGGCTGCTGTCAGAAGCTGGAGACTGGACTAGGAGCCTCATCTCTACACTTTTGATGGCTTGTGAAGTTTGATTTACAACAGCAGACATGGCATCAGAATTGTAGTATTCTTTGTCCAGGTCTATGGCTCTCATGCTGTGGGTCTTGGGACATCTCCAGTGACTGTGTCTCCTTATAAAAATTATCTGCCTTTCATAAAAAAACCCCAAAAGAACCACGTAGTAAACTGTGAAGGTTAGGGTTGTGATGGGCAGCTCAGCTGGAGGCTGGTCACTAGTGGTCTACTGTAGGAGTAAATACTGGGGCAGATGTTGTTTAACACCTTCGTTAATGATCTGGATGGTGGGGTGGAGCATGTCCTTAGCAAGGATCTAGATGGCACAAAGCTGTGAGGAGTCACGGATAGGCCAGAGGGTAGTGCAGCCACCCAGGGGAACCTTGATAGGGTGGAGAAACAGGCTGAGAGGAACCTTATGAAGTTCAGCAAGTGGAAAGGCTCTGTCCTGTCCCTGGGGAGGAATAACTCCAGGCACCAGGACAGGCTGGGGCAAACCTGCTGGAAAGCAGCACTGCAGAAGAGACTCTGAGGGTCTTGGTGGACACCAGGGTGACCATGAGCCAGCAATGAGCCCTTGTGGCAACAAAGGCTGCTGGGTGTCCTGGGCTGCACTCAGCAAAGCATCTCCAGCAGATGGAGGGAGGTGATCCTTCCCCTCTGCTCAGCACAGGTGAGACACACCCGGAGTGCTGGGACCAGGACTGGACTCACCAGTGCGAGAAAGGTACAGAATTACTGAAGTAAGTCTGGTGAAGGGCCCAAAGGTGATTCATGACTTGGAGCATCTGACATGTGAGGAGAGGCTGAGAGAGCCAGGACTGCTTGGGCTGGAGGAAACCAGGCTCAAGGACATCTTATCAGTGCATAAAAACACTGTTGGGAGACAGTGAGGACAAGGCAGACTCTGCTCATTAGTGACAGGACATGAGGCAATGAACACAAATTAAAGCACATGAGATTCCATCTGAACACAAAAAAACACCTAGTTTGCATTTGGGTTGTTTGGGTTATTTTTACTGTGAGGTTGGTCAAACACTGGAATGGGTTGTGCAGAGTGAGGTGGTGGAGTCTCTGTCCTTGAGAGATCTCAAAAGCTGCTTGACTGGACATGGTACTGGACAGTCTGCTCTAGCTGACCCTGCTTGAGCAGGGGGCATTGGACTAGAAGATCTACAGAGGTCCCTTCCCATCTCAGCCATTCTGTGATTCTAAAATACGTTGCTTTAAAATTAATATCATAGGTAAACTGTAAGAGGGGTTTGTTTTGTCTCCCTGTAGCTGACCTGTTCCTTTTTAATCTTGCTTTGACTCTGAGAAAAATGCAAAGGAAATTTCCTATCATCTTTTACCCCAGTTACTTCACCATGCAGGGAAAAATAAGAGGGAATACACATTCAAAAATAGAAAATATGATTGCAAACATAGGAAACGAGCAGGATGCCTCAAAAGGAAATGCCTTTTTTCCCAAATTACCTTAATTTTGAAGGTGATATGCTGTAACTAAACAATTTTTTTCATCTCAGGATCTTACCTTACAATTAGGAAGCAAACTGTTCCTGCATGGTGGTGGCAGCAGTTGTCATGGAGGTAGCATCTAGTGTGGGGTTCAGCTGAAGGTCCTGTCTTTCCAGTACTGTGTATATTCATAGTTTAATACATGTTGCACTACTGAGTTTGCTCATGTGCGTTTTGGAGCGTCTGCAGGAACTGCCCTTCAAATGCCAGTGAACTCGGAAACAAATGAGTGCTCTGAACTCGAAGTCACGGGAGGTGTGTGGGGCAGCCAGCTCCGGACGCAGACGTTTGCCAGCACTGTCTGTGTGAAAGGGCAGTGTCTGAGCAGGCCTTTGTTCTCCTCTCCACACGTAGGCATGGCTGATTTTCGGGAGGTGTTTGCCAAGGCGAAGCACATTGTCATCATCACCGGAGCCGGCGTCAGCGCCGAGAGCGGAGTGCCCACCTTCCGAGGGGCCGGGGGGCTCTGGAGGAAGTGGCAGGCACAGGTACTGGTGGCACCTCGCCTGAGCTGCTCCGTCGGGTGGGTGAGCATGGAGGGGCAGAAGGCTGGGCAGCTGGGGTGGTGGAAGCACTCCCAGGGTGGCATGCCGGGGACAGAGCCCTCCCTGCAGCCGTGTCTGCAGCTTTTCCCTGTGCCCTGGGCATCCGCTTCGTGCACCTGCAGCTTTCTTTCTGTTGTTTGGTTCACTGGTTGTTTGGGAAAAACTGTGTTCTTGCAGACAGCTCTGGGTCTGCAGGGGTGGTAGAACATCCTTGTTTTCTTGCTGCCTTGCAGCTTAGCTGTTTGATCCTCTTTTGACACCCTCACTGTTTTCCTATCTCTTGGGGCCTTTCCTGTTTTAAACTCTTAAGAACGTTTTACCAAAGTAACTGAGGACAGAATCAATGACACCGACTAGTTGTTTTCTTTCAGTCTTGGCTTATCATAAGTCTTTAAAAATGTTTTAGGATTTTTTTTGGGGGGGAGAGGTAGGGTTCCTCATGGTTTTTAACTCTCCCACAAGCTCTGTCTCTCTTGCTGGTGTGCTCTTGCCAGCAGTGGTAGCCACTGGGGTGGGAGAAGAGGTGGAAGCAGAAGCTGGGGGGTAGAGCAGTGCTGGGATGAGCACCAAAATGTGAGTTGTGTAGGTGCCTCCTGAGTCTGGTCCTGCTGCAGGTGTGTCGAGGCTACACTGTCAGTAACTGCTGCCCCAAACACAGCAGTCACGCTTGCTTTCTTCACAGTTTTTAATGACAGCATTCACAAAAAATCTGAAGTTAAAAAGGGATGATGAGTTTTTCAAGATGGATGAATCTAAAGATGCATTTTCTCCTTTCAGTGACTTTCAATTGGAATAAAATGTGTGTGTGTCTAATAAGTAAATGCCTGGTCCTTCTGCATCAGAGAGCTTGCATTTAGCTTTTACATCAGAACTGTGCATTCAAGGATTAGACTGAGCTACTCCTTGCTTTAAGAAAAGGGGTAAAGCAAAACTAAAGTTGGTGTGGGAAGCATAGCTTAGATTTTACCGGTGCGCAAGAGATAAGACAACAGACTTTGGTTTTGACAGTGGCTGTGACTTGGCTTGTGTTACACTTGCATCAAGGCAGAAAAGAAAGTGCCAGCAAAGGAAACACATCCACACAATGCTGAGTTTTATGGCTGCTGCAGAAGAGAGAATGCCAAAAACACATGCACTGAGATCTCTCCCATTCCTTCATGCTGTACCAAACTCCTAACGCTTTGGTAGGGCAGCACAGAGCAAGGTCTGTGTGTGATGTAAAACCACCTGTTACTGATACCTGCTACTGCCTCCTCTGAGGAGATACTTTGACTCGTCATCCTCATAAGGGCTACTGAACTATCCTCAGCCCCTGCATCTGGTTATAAATAATCTGCTTTTGATTCTGTTGTGATGCTGGTAGCAGTGTAAATGGCAGTAACCTAGCAGGCTACATCTGGCAAGGGGATTTCCTTTCCCTCCTGTTGGCAGAACGAACTGTTGCACCTTTTCCAGGAGCTGGCTACTCCAGGGGCTTTTGCCCGAAACCCTTCCCGCGTGTGGGAGTTCTACCATTACCGGCGGGAGGTGATGCTGAGCAAACAGCCCAACCCTGCACATGTGGCCATCGCAGAGTGCGAAAGGAGGCTGAGCAAGCAAGGCAGGAGCGTTGTGGTCATCACCCAGAACATCGATGAGCTGCACAGAAAGGCAGGCACAAAGCACCTCTTAGAAATTCACGGTAAGGACCGGCTGGAGGCCCTGACACAGGGTGAAAGTCTCCCAGGACAAAGTCCCGTCCTGGTCCTCTGGCACTATGACACTTTTTAACTTAAGTATCACAAAAGGTTTAAATGGAATTTCCCACCACCACATTGTGATCTGGGCACAGGAAACACGCACAGATTTTTCTGTGCTGTTGTGCATGCAAGGATAAAGCCTTGGGTGTAGTTTAATATTGGTTGTCCTTATTCTTCGCAAAATAGGAACAATCTTGGCAATCTCACAAATCTCTACGGCACATTACTAATGCTACAAGTGCCTTGGGGTTGAGTTTTGCAGGAAACAAAGCAGTGTTAACCCTTATCTATTTTTTTAAAGAAAATGTTTCAGATTTAAGGGGAGAAGCAGGAAACAGAAATCTCGAGTGCCTTGGGGTTGGGGAGTTTTGCAGGAAACAAAGCAGTGTTAACCCTTATCTATTTTTTTAAAGAAAATGTTTCAGATTTAAGGGGAGAAGCAGGAAACAGAAATCTCCCTCAGTGATATTTTAAATCATGATTTTCCTCTGACATACCGCTATGAGGGTGTGTATTGCCCATGTGGTGAGGCAGAACAAGGTGATAAATCAGGGCTTAGAGGGACTGTTGCTGTTGTTCACAGTGGCCTGTCAGCTTAAAGGGCTGTGCCTGTTTTGCTGGGACCAGCCTATGCTTCACTGTGACACTGGTCAAATCCTGTCTGTTAATGTTTGTGTTGTAAGCTACACAAGGTGTAGCCTTCAAAGTGAAGTAAAGACCATCCAGGATGAGCACAACCATTTGCTGGTACAGCCGTGCCTCAGAGCCATCGCTTGATCCCTGATGTTTTTCCCCTTTTTTTCTTCCAGGTAGTTTATTTAAAACTCGATGCACCAACTGTGGAAACGTAGCTGCGAATTACAAGAGTCCGATCTGCCCCGCGCTGGCTGGGAAGGGGTAAGATGTCTGCCTCGGGAACGCGCTGCATTTCCCACTTTCTCTGCAGTTCAGTGGGAAAGGAATCATTTTAGGAGTGTGCAGGAGTTTCGGCCATCAACCCCTTTTCCTTTAGCAGTATTAATGCTTAAATTTTACACAACAGTTCTGAAACATGAGCAGACTCTTTGTAGCTTCAGTGCGAGCCCACGATACCCTAATTGTTGTGAAGGAACAACTGTTCTTCTCTAAGTGAGCATATTACATGTTTTAATTAGAACAATTGGCTGAAGTTGCAAAGGTTCCTTGACTGGAGGGTGTGCTTTAGAGAACACCAAGCTTTCATTAATCTGTGAAGTGCATTTTGTACCACTGAGTATGTACTTCAGTTCTGTACCTGCAGGGCTCCAGATCCCGAAACAGAAGATGCCTCAATTCCCGTTGAAGACCTTCCTCAGTACGTATGGACTTCTCTGGGTTTGTGCATCTCAAAAGCTTGCATTACTGTTCACGTAGTTTTGGGAGGACAGGGGCACATCCTACAGGAGAGAAAGGGACTTTTGCCCCAAGAATTGAGTCCAGAGAACTGAGGACAGACAACAGGAGTGTGCACGAGAAGTTTACCACAATGCTGTCATGATTGTGCACTTGAGCATCAAGCTGAAACATGCCTAAATTCATGGGGTTTGGAGTAAGTGGAGTAGTAGAAGGACTGCAGGAGGCAACTAAGTGCTATGTGGTAAACATTTTGCTACTTTGCAGGTGCTACCTAGTGCTAGTCAGCGTGGAGCACTGTGCTGGGCTACAGCTACTGCGCAGTTCTGTGCATTTTAGGAGCTAAGGGGAAGAAAGGATGAAGTGTTTGAGATGAACCACTGCTCAGCAGGCCGCTCTGTGCAAGCAGAGTGTGCTTCCCACACACCCACAGCGCGGCACCTGGCAGAGCACGGCGTGGGGAGGGCTGCCAAAGAGAGGGCAGACAGCCTGAGGGCAGACAGGACGTCCCACCTGAGAAGGAAACTGCTGTGGGCTGTGTTTTTGGTTGTAACACTGTGCTGCTGTGGGCTCCCCACAGGTGTGAGGAGGAGGGCTGCAGCGGGCTCCTCCGGCCCCACGTCGTCTGGTTTGGTGAAGCCCTGGATCCCGACGTCCTGACCGCCGTGGAGAAGGAGCTGGATATCTGTGACCTCTGCTTGGTGGTGAGCTTTTGTTACCTAACCTCTTACCTCCACAGGGAGGGGGTTGCACCTCCTGGGTAAAGGTGATGCATCTGTGCTTCCTACAGGAACTAAAAGCTGCAAGGGACTCTCTAGTGTCAAGTGTAAAACCTTGAAAGACTGTGACATCTGAGAATGTGCATGTGCTACAATGTAGTCAACAGGTTCAGCATAGAATCGGGGAACAGTTTGGGCTGGAAGGGACCTCTCAAGGTCATCCAGTCCAACGTCTCTGCAGCAAGCAGGGACATCTGCAGCTAGAGCAGGTTGCTCAGAGCCCCATCCAACCTGACCTGGAATGATTCCAGGGATAGGGCAATGCACCACCTCTCTGGGAAACCTGGGCCAGGGTGTCACCACCCTCAGCATAAAACATTTCTTCCTTATATCCAAGTCTAAATCTCCCCTCTTCTAGTTCAAAACCATCACCTTTTGTCCTGTTGTGACAGGCCCTGCTAAAAATCCTGTCCCCATCTTTCTTCTAGGGCCTCTTTCAGGACTGAAGGCCACAGTAAGGTCCCCCCAAAGCCTTCTGCAGGCCACGTGTGCATCTTGCTCAGCAGGCACCCGCAGTCTGCATTCGTTGTACACGGGTGTTAGAGGTTTACCCGTTGGAACTTAGCTAATAGTGTTTAGCTGTTGAATTTCTCAGTGAAAAATACCATTATTTTGGTGGTCACTTTAACAAAGAGACCAAACTTAAGCAGGTAGGTAGCTGTTCCCATGTGCTGCTTTTTTTGTGAGGCTGTTGACATGCTGTGTAGGTCCCAGCTCACCGACCAGAACGCTGGCAAAGAACATTGTGTACCCTTCACAGAATCATCTCCAGTAACAGAAGGAACATCTTGTTTTGTTCTAAAAGCAATGTCTGCCATTTTGTGTTTCTGGGATGTTGGTTTTTTTTCCCATCTACAGGTACAATCTACAAATGGGCTGCTTTGAGTTGTAGCAGAGAAACAGTTCCTGATTCCTGTGCTAGGTTAAAAAGCGACGTACGCAGTGACACTAAATATAGATACTGACTTGGGTTTATTCTGTAGGGATTTCTGTGCTGTAGTGGTTTGGCTCATCCCACGTTCCAAGAAGGGCCCTTACCTCGTGGGCTGGGTTGGTTTTATCTCTTTAACTGCTGGGCTGCAACCCCTGTGGCTGTCCACTGTGTCCCTGCAGGTCGGCACCTCGTCCGTGGTGTACCCCGCCGCCATGTTTGCCCCTCAGGTGTCTGCCAGAGGAGTGCCAGTTGCAGAATTTAACATGGAAGCTACTCCTGCTACAGAGAGATTCAGGTAACGTGTTCAGCTGTAAACTAGCAACCTTTAGCCCCCTCCATAGTCATAGGTTCATTAAGGTTGGAAAAGACCTCTAGGATCATCAAGTCAAACTGTCATCCCAGCGCGACCATGACCACTAAACCATGTCCTGGAGTGCCGTGTCCACACATTTTTTGAACACCTCCAGGGTTGTAGAGAGCAGTAAAGGGGCTCCCGAGCCTCCTTCTCTCCAGACTGAACAATCCCACTTCTCTCAGACACTCCTCATAACCCATGTTGCCCAGACCCTTCACCAGCTTCACTGCCCTTCTCTGGACCTGCTCCAGCACCTCAGTCTCTCCCCAGACTGAACCCAGGACTCAAACTGCAGCCTCTGCGGTGCTGCGCCCAGGGGCACGAGCACTTCTCTGCTCTTGCTGGCCACACTATTTTTGATACAGGCCATAAGGCTGGTGGCCTTCTTGGCTACCTGGGCACACTGCTGGCTCATGCTCAGCTGGCTGTCAACCAGCACCCCCAGGTCCTTTTCTGCCTGGCAGTTTCCACTGCCCCAAGCCTGGAGTGTTGCCTGGGGTGGTTGTGACCCCAGTGCAGGACCCGGCCCTTGGCCTTGTTGAACCCCATACAACGGACCTCAGCCCAGCGATCCAGCCTGTCCGTTGTCTCCTGCCTTGAACTGCTAGAGCACATGGGAAACGTTGACACGAACGGGACCTGTGTTACCTCTCTGGGCTGCCGCCCCCTCACCCGCCTCCTCCCTTCCAGGTTCCACTTCCCGGGGCCCTGCGGGACCACTCTGCCGCCGGCGCTGGCGCGACACAGCACCGAGATCATCTCCTGAGCGGGGTGGGGGCTGCGGGGCGC